CAGCAGCAGAGTGAGACTTGAGGCATCACCAGAGGAACATGTAGAGAGTGAAGAAGAGCTGCTCCCCCCCCCCTCAGGTGACTGACTGTGTTGGCAATAATCCTCTTTGATCACAACACATGTCGATGCAAATCACCAAGGATTAGCTACAGTGATGCAGCATTACAGCCAGAGGCACAGAATATGTATATTTATATACGTATCAGATGCCACTTATTGTATAACATTATATAACCGTATTGTTACACAATGCTTTGGCTTTTCAGGTCACTGGATGGTTGGAAGTGACTGTGCGTTTTTTTTTTTTTTGTGTCACTTTGTCAGATTAAACGACCGTTTAGGCGACGTTGATCGTTGTTGCCATAGAAGCGTGTCAATTAGTTGAAACGATGCAGATGAGCCGAGTCGCCAAGTGAGGAATCTGTAGCAGCAGCGGCGGCCGACTCGAAACTTTCCTGATTCACATCATGCTCAATTAGTTCTGCCGCATAGCAGCACACACATCATGCACCATAATGCATGGCTCTGAAGCGGTGTGTGTACATGCCACTGCAACACCCCAAACAGCACAGGATCTATAGTCATAACTGTCTGTAACGCAGCTCAGCACACAGCCCTTTGCATCACATGCAGGGAGACACATCACACATTCTTTAACCATCATCACCATTTTTTTTTCTTAGATAAACATCCATCAGCTCTACTCATTAAAGTCTGTGAAATTGGAGCATGAACTTACTTTTTCAATGTCACCACCGTGTGAGGGATGTGGACCTGAGAGGAAAAGACACAGCAGCATGAGAATGTGACATTAAAGCATCACAGCTCTGAATCCACCGTCAAACCGCCACAGTGCACGTCACAGGTTCACACTTTTCTTATGTGTCTTTGCATCTTTTTTTTTTTTTTTTTGCACCAAACACTGACAAGCCATCTACGTGGGGATGGTTAATTCAACGAGAGACCTAATTTCCATCAGTATATCTCCCTTTTTTCACACAGTTAATCGCAGTATCTCGGTTTGAACAGTAGATGGAGATCACTGCAATAAAAAGCGGCTCCATCGGGATGTAGGTGACACTGTGACAGTTTCACATTCAGTCTAAATTCTCTGCTGTGACTTGTAGGACACATCACTGTCGTGCACCCTGTCATGGAAATGCTGCATAAATCATGTAAATGCAGGCATGCACATGTTCATTTATGCACTCATGTAACAACAGACCCAAAGACTAAAGACAAACCTCCCTGAATGCATTTCTGAATCATGTTTCGGAGCTTTTTTTTTCTCCCCCCCTCATCATTTCCACTAAACAGCAGGACCAGTAAAGACAATTGACATTTTTAACCAACAGTGCCGCGGAGCAGCATCGGATGCTGGAATTCATTTGTGGTGCACGAAACGCAGCCATGCTTAAATGCCACACACTAATTGGCCTTTCTTTTTGATGGTAACTGACACAGCATCACATGCAATTTACAGCAGCACTGAGTGGAGGCTCGCTGTACGTCCACTACACTACGAACCACCGTACACCAACCTGCACGCACCAGTCCGTATGTGATTTCATGCACGTGTGTGAGCAGTGTCTTACCTGTGGGGTGGGGCCTCTCGGTGGGACTAGTCCTGCTGTGCTTGGCGCAAATGCCCCTTCCCTGCAACAGAGCCTGGAGGGGGCTGTGCTCCCTGGGTGGGGGGACACAGCGGAGCCCCTTGGCACAGCTCAGGGTGTAGACGCCACAGGGCTCCCCTGAAGCCAACACCGACGTGCTGCCGGCAGCGTTATGGTCCCTCGGGGGCCGACCTGCCCCCAGTGGATCCCTGCAGGAGGGACAGACCTTGAAGGGGCCCAAGCGGTTTGCCCCAGTCCACGATCCGCAGTGAGCAATCAGCAACAAAACAACGGTTGTTAAGTTAGAAAGGATAGGCATTTTGTGTCCAGGTCTCAGGTTCTCCACACTGTCACTCTCTGTCAGTTTAAATGTGGCTGATGCTATTTCTGGATGTATATTTCTCTCTCTCTCTCTCTCTCTCTCTGTCTCTCTCTCTCTCTCTACCTCTTTCTCTCTCCCCCTTTTTTTTTTCCTCCTTCTTCCTATACAGTAGCGTTTCCTTTGGTGCTTTGCCGGTTGAGTCCCCTGCAGTGCCAGAGGAGACAAATGGAGATCGAGAGAGACACAGCAAAGCACCAGCTTTTAAAGATCTGAAAGGCGGTGATAGAGAGTGAGAGAGAGAGGCAGGGAGAGAGAGGGAAAGAAAGAGAGAGAGAGAGCACAGTTATGACACCTTCAGGGGCTGGGACTCAGAGAGAGAGAAAAGGGAGAGAGAGAGGGAGGTGGCAGGGAGGCAGAGAGCGAGCAAGTGGGGGGGTGGATTATGTTCCTTTTCAGAAATTATCAAAATCTCCCCACCCTTTCCTGTTAAATACTAAAACCTCCATCCAGCCCTTCTTCTTCTTCTTTCTTCTTGCACTTAAGCTCAACGTTACACGTGCACAAGCACTTTTCTTTCCAGTGTCAGAGACCTTTCCGGAACAATATTTGCCATGGTAACAAATACATGTATATGTGCTTCCATCAGCGTCATCACTGCGTCGTGTTTTCTGCTGCGTGAGGTTCTGACAGCCTTTTTCTTCTTCTTTTTTTTTTTTTTTCCTGTACAAACATGTAAAACCTCCAGCTGAGCTCCACACCTGCAAACCTCACACATATCAAAGTTTCACAGAACGTTGATGCAATGAAGCCAAAAAACAAAGCGAGTGTTGTCGTGTCTCCTGCGCGCACTGATGGAAGTTTGCTCGGCGTAATCGCGTCACCGCTGGGATCTAATCCAGTCTTTGATAAGAAAAGTCAACTTCCAGATTACAGTTCACGTATCGAAGCGGCAGTGGAGGCTGTTGCTCGCCAGCTGTTTGAATTGGAAGAGTAATCATCTGGATAATTAGCAGGAGGAGGAGGATTCCGTTTTGCAGGAATGCACATCGACCAGCCCGAGCCGAATCGCTAATAATGCAATCCATCGCTCCACTCAGCCAGTTAGGATTTTCTACATGGGTGCCATCTTCAAAAATGATCACACTGATCCCTTCAGCCTTCTTTTGAATGTGCAACACTTGATCCTGACGCGGTAAAACTAAAATATTCTGGTTATTTAGTGGACATAAATCATTCTAGGCTCACAGTTTCCCCTCAGGACAGAAGCAGAAAGAAACTTTGAGGCACACATTCTCTGTAACGTCTGCAAGTTTTGTTCACGGTAACATTAGTGGTGGCAGCAAATCTATCTGAGAAAACCGTTGTAAGTTCCTGCAGCTTTTGCAACTTAGTAAAGATGCTCTACCATTCATTCAACACATTATTGGAAATAGAAACAATAATGCTGACATTTAAAAAGAGAGACTGAGAGTAGAGTTTCTGCACATGAAGATCATGGTCTCCTGTACTGTAAAACTTCTGCAGACAGATGTAACCCGAGAAAACGAGCATCACCAGAATTCACAACGACATCCTCACCGCCTTTAAAACAAGTTTGCATACAGCACATGACCTTAAAGCGTTTAGGCACAAACCGTGTGCCTGGCACTCGAAGTACAGACACGACAGACAAACCCGTTGGCCCTGCACTCGCAGGAATTCAGGGCTACACGAGGCCAAAATCTTGCCTCGCCATCAGCAGCATGTTGTTCTGATTAATCCTGGCAAGGAGGGCAGAAATCACCTGCCGTCTTGTGTTCCCATCAGCCACAGCACTAGTCGGTTTCCACATATCAGGAGAATGTTCCAACACACTCGCCAGACCAACGGGGGCTCTTTCTTTTCCACACTGCCCTGGATTATTCATTCCTCCTCCTGCACGGGTTCGGCCCTCTCTGCTCCCCCTAAAGTTCAGGTCTAATCCCAGCTGGCTTCGGAAAGTCTCCCTGCTGGCACCTCTGCCTTAAACACAGCAACCAGAGTCCACACCAACCATGTGATGTTCCCCAGTATCCCTCTGACCTTCTGCTGAGCTGATCGTGACTTTGACTGTATTCTTTCAATGTGGGATAATGAAGCAGCTTATCAAGAGAAGGAAGGAATTGTACGGTAATACTCACCAGACAGACACGCAGCTGGTGAAACGAGCGGCTCAATAAAGTGTGTGATGAAAGATTGATCAACATGAGCTCATCATCAATAGGGTCATCGTCTTCTTCTTCAGTTGGCAGGCAGTGAATTGGTGCATTACTGCCACCAGCTGGAATGGAAACTGTACACATTTGATCTAACATACTCAAATATGATTTAATAATTGAATCCTTATATTTGTTATATCAATTTATCTTTCTGAGGTTTTGGATCAGATGTCTTATTGTTTCTTCTTCCCTGCAGTATTTCACATCTGTTGTGTTTAATTACTTGAAAATTGCACTGTTTAGTCCAGCGTGTTCAAATCTGAGTTTTTACATTCCTCACTCACTGTTTCTTCCTGCACATTTTATTCTTCCTTCTGTCACTTGAACTCTCTGTAACCATCATGTCCTCTGATTTTGCTGCCTGTCCTTCACTCTGCTGAGTAAAACTCTTTATTTCTGTCCTGCTGGGGCAAACTGCCAAACTACTGATTACCTTCTACCACTTTCATTGCAAACCTTATCTTTAAATTCATTTCCTTTTATGCCAATATGTGTCAGCAATCATAAAAATTTATCTGTAAGGCCCATCGTTTAAAAATCTCAATACCATTTGTTCTATTTCTGTTAAATATCTGCACTGCAAACTTACAAGTGATGAGCTGTAATCTGAAGATATATTTTTGCTATTTTATTCTCTATCACTGCTAACAATCTTGCAGCATTTCTCCGTGTAAACTGATAATCCCTGAAGATACCAGTTTAAATGTACGTGACTCCATCGGGATGCACACACGCGTCGGGGAGACGTGATTGGCTGAGCGCTTGTCACCATTTCTGAAACCTCGCTGTGATTGGTTGCCCACGAACCGACAGTGTGGCGTCACTATGAAGCGCCGAACTCTAGTTTCCAAAGTTTTCTGTGTGGAGCTATGGACAGCTGATGGACAAAAGTGAGTTTCTGCCCCATTCACCGCCTAGTTAACAGGTAAGCGACGGACGCTCCGATAATGACGCCTGTAATGAAGCAGAGCTCCGTTTTTCATTTTTCGAAGCAGCCTCTCGGTATCCTCCAACTGAGCAGCGAACCTCAGCTTCCAGCAGGGATGCTAACGATTTAGCCGCTAACGATGCTAACCCATCGTTAGCTTTGCGGCTAAACTGACCCCTCGTAACCAACTGACGGGCCGACTGTTATCATTTTGAAGTGCTGTTTAATTAACACTAACCCCTGTGCCGTTTTCAGTTAACTGTTTGAACATTAATGCTGTCTTGTGTTAAATTAGCTTTGTCGTTAGCACAGTGGCTGGTGCTTGAGTCGCTAGCTTACCAACGTTGACAGCGTTAGATGTAAACATTGGCACGCCCCCTTCCCCTCGTCCTGGAAATGTTCCACTTCAACCAGAGTTTTACGATAAATGGTGTCACCGGTGTGCCTGAGTCAGAGGATCAGTAGGCGTGATTTGTAAGGACCCATGTCAGCTAACCAGTTAGTCATGTTGAATTACTCACATCTGCACATTTTTTAATTTTATTTTTTTAAACATAAGTCTAGTATTGCATTCATTTTAGTCTGGTAGAGCTGGGTGATATAGATGAAAACATCACAATGACATGTTTACATTTAGCCAATATTGATTTATTTTATGTTTAATTCACCTCGCTATGAACCAAGTATTGCAGCTTGTTTATCAAAAGGTACACAAGTTATAGTTTTAATATTAATACAACAATTGTAAGCAGTTACGTCCCCTCATAACACAAGGAGAGCAAAACAACAACCAAAAGATATGCAGGAGTCATTGTGAGGTCTGAATAAAATTAGAGTTTTATTGTAACAGTGCTTCAACAAAAATGTGCAACAAAGGTTCACAGAAGATGTGGGAGGACTGGGACGAAGTGGTGCTGCCAAACAACTGGAAATAAGAAAACAAAACAAGGCCTGACTAACTCCTCTTATATGACAAAACAAACCCAATCAAAAGACCTTACTAACTTCTCTACAAACAGAGCGCTGAAATAAATACACAGGTGACACCAACCAATAAGCCTGGTGTGTCAAACAAAATTTCCTACGTGCTGCATAATGTAGGGTAACCAACTTACCTAAAGTCCCAATCTCATCACCACACAAATGTACTTCAAAGATTACAGCAAACAAAACAAGTCTCATAGACACAGCAACATGCAGTCAAGATGGCAGCTCCCCTGATCTGACAATGGGCCTGGTTTTAAGCTGCAACACACCACCCCTGGTTGGCCAGCTCCACAGGTGGAAGCCAGCTCTCCAGGTGGATCCCAATGAGGTCATTAGCACCTCAGAATGAAACAGAAAGGAGGGGGAAGCAGAGGCAGAACATACATACTCACACACAACCAGGCCTCTGGCACGTAGCAAAGCGCACAAAAAAAACCCTCTATTGACACAAATAAAGTAAACAAGGATAAAGGAATGATCTCACCTTCATACACACTGAATAAAAAAGCAGGTAAACCTGGAGTGTGATTAGGGTAAAGATGGTGAGGTTAAGTTTCCTAGTGGCCGGCAAGGACCAGGTGTCATCAGCTCTGTCCATCGACCCTCGGAGCAGGCTGCTAGGACTGTGTCGCTTTGCTGGAGGTGGTGGGTCATGGGTGTTTTGGATCACAAAGCCCTTCTCGTAAGGGCAACCTCTGGTCACCACCAACCAGACTAACTTTTTCACTGGTAGCACCGGTGGGACCAACTTTCTCATTTGGTTGCGCCTCCCACCTGGTCACAGGCAAAACATATGACTTGCTGAACATCTTCTAATTAGGAGATTCTATAATTTACCGATGTTCCCTGAACGCCCCACATTGCAGCTGCAGTAGCTGCTGTTGGTATCTGTGATGTGCTCAGACAGGTGTGTGACCAAAAATGACTTTAAAAAGAATAAACTAGGGTGTTGTAATGTCAGATTTGTCCAAAATAAAACAGTGATTTAGAAATTTTTTTACATGTCCCCTTATCTATGAGCAGAAAAAACAGCGAATGCAGGTGTGCTGCGTTCTTCACAAGAAGACTGAACTTTTAAGCGTAAATACCGCAGCACACGGAAGTTCACACAGGTCCACCCAGCAGCTTCCTGTGCTGGTTACAGCGACAATAATACAACTTAATGATCATCATGCACTCACACCAATG